TTTTATTTATTATTTTATTATTTTTATTATTACTTATATTACTTATTATTATTATTATTATTATTATTATTATAACATTCATTATTACCCACCACTATCCGACAAGTCAACATTCGATGCCGATCTGCTATTCGATACCGAACTCCCTCGGCTATTCGACTCCACCTGACACGACACATCCCACGGGTCGTCCACTTCCAGCATCAGCATCGTGCAAAGAGTCTGCAAAAAACCTAAGCTCTCACCCGGAATCGAACCACCACCCTCTCAAACAACAGCCTACAATGCTATCCACTCGGCTACCCAGCTCACTTCAAGCGTACTAATATCAATCTATAAAAATTATTTTAATCAATAAAATGACGTCATTATCAGTGAATTATCACCAAACAGTTACCCCTATTATTACTAACAATTCCCAATGACAATAATAATACAACAAAAGACAAATAATAATAATAAATAATAAAAAATAACAATAAATAATAATAAATAACAATAAATAATAAAAAATAACAATAAAAAATAACAATAATAAATACTAAACCTGATACAACCCGGCCTCATACGCCTTATAAGCGTTAAAAATGCCCTGAATAAGGCACGCCTCCTCGTGTCCCCCCGTGCCCAAGTCGCCGCCCTCTCGATTCGGACTCGACTGGAAGCCGTTCCCTATCGATACACACTCCTCGTCCACAAAATCCAAATATGCTCCCTACAATAATAATAATATTAATAAATAATATAAATAATATATAATAATAAATATTATACAATAATAAATATAATAAAAAATAAACCTGCAATATATACAGCACAATCCTAGCCGCATCCAACCTCACATCCGACTGCGTACTCTCGATTCGTTCCATCAGATCGTAGAATATCATCCTCTGTTGATTGTCCGTTAGAGATGACCATGCTTGCTCGATCTGAATTTGCTAATTTTTATTATATATTATTAAATAATAACAATAATAATAAATATAACATCACAATATAATAATAATAAATAATAATAACAATAATAATAATAATAAATATAACATCACAATATAATAATAATAACAATAAAATACTAAGTAATCCTAACAATAATAATAATACCACAAATAACCTAACGAACATCAACGATTTAAATAACAATAACAAAATTAATAATAATAACATTAATAAATATTAATTATAATAATAATAAATAATATTAACAAATAAATAAATAACAAATAATAATAATAAATAAACATCCATCACACCAAACACACCACAACCAACCGCACGTAACACACATTCCCCCTCACCAATCAATACCCAATATCATTTCAAATCAATCACTTATATATAAAACATTCACTATATTTATTGACAATTGCTATTTAAATTATTAATTACTACTTAATTATTATTTATTATTACTATTATATTATATATTATCATACACCTATTATTACTAATATATTCACATAAGACCAATACTTTACTAAGGGTACCGATTTTAAGGCTGAAGGGGGGAACGGGGGGGGGAGGGCAGTCACGTGTCCCAATTCATAGACCAGGTAAAGACATAAGCACGACACATCATTCATCACTATTATATATTTGCTATTGTATATTTTTATTTTATATATATATTATTATTATTATATATTATTATTATATATCACTATTATATATTATTATTATTATTATATATTAATATAAATATAATAATAATCACGTATACAACAACACAACGAGCGTAGAACAACC